ATCTTTGCCAGTTTTATCAGCTGTTGGCGGGATAAAGATAGTCTACCCGAAGATAAGTGATGGTATTAGCCTTCCTCATCTGTTTCTCTTTCATCCAGTAAATACGATATGGTTCAACTAATGCTAGTTTTTTGTGTCACAGAGCTTGTTGTACTTGTAGCTGTTTTGATATTAATTGCTTTGTTCAGCATCCAGCATCACGGTATTGATAAAGTTAGCAGGCTTTTTTCCCCAATTCTGCTAACTTGGTTTCTGTTAATTGGAGGAATTGGCATATTCAACATTTGGAAATATGACAGTGGCATTCTAAAAGCTTTTTCACCTGTTTACATGTATCGATATATGAAAAGAGGAGGGAAAGAGAATTTCATCTCACTTGGTGGCATAATGCTCAGTATTACAGGTATATTTTCAGCTTCTTCTATTGAAATTATGGTCAATTGATTATTTGCTTGAAGAAAAGATACGTGAGTGTTTATATTGATCTCTATGCCAAGAAAAAAAAAAGCTGTAAATGAATTAAACCTATATTGCAAAGTATATCTTCTAGCACTCATAAAACTAAAGCATATATTATATGCACCAAACCTGTAAGAAATAAAAATCACAAGAGCTCCCCTAAGGATTCTATGAACATATTGGCTAGCTTGTATTTTGACATCATGAGTAGTTTGAATCGCATTATATAAAAATTTTTTTTTGTATAAATAACAATTTTTTTGGTTAAGGGCTATCGCTGTTTTCTTATATGGATATCGAACCTATGATGCTTTGACCAAAAATAGGTACCACCAAAACCAAAGGCTCTTGGTAATTAACCTCAATGTGCTTAATAATCTTGTGAAAAATTAGGGTTTAAGCAATATCGATCCCTATTTGACTATCATAGTAACTCTGCGGGTTGCAATTCTGGAAAACAAAGGTCGTAATATAAATATTAATTTATATTAATTTATAAAGAAGAGGTAATACCATGGTTAACAGATGCTACCTTTGCAAATCGGAAGAGGAGACATGCAACCATCTACTTTTGTGATGCCCGACGACCTACAGCATCTAGAATTCTGTTTTGGGTTTGCTGGGCCTAAGTTGGGTAATGGCTGAAAATTTGAGTAAAGAGTTGTGGACTTGGCCAGGTTATTGTAAGAAGAAAAAATATTTGTTCCTTATTCCACTAACTATTTTTTGAGTTGTGTGGAAATAAAGAAATGCAAGAGTTTTTTAGGGCACTGAGACTAATGTTACAAACATTAAAGATAGATGTATTTATACTTTTAATTCTATTTTGTTAAGTCATGACATCAAAAATTGGGATAATTTTGGGTGGGTTATAGACCACTTAATTGACTTGTAAGTATGCTTTGTACATGAGCGGTACTCTCTTGGTACTTCTGTGAATAATATTACTTCTCTTGTATTTAAAAAAAATTAATAATTAAGCAGTGGGGTACATGGTTTGGAATAGTCAATATTTCTGGCAACTAGCCTTCTTTTTCCAAGGCACTGGCTTACCACCCAAAAGCGTACAATACCTTGTAATGTATCTACAATAAGAAAGATTACCAATCCAATAAACCTCTGTGTATCCGTCGACCAAAGTATGCCATGATTCTTATGAAGTAATCCATAACTCATTGTACCTTCAAGATACCTCAAGGTGCATGGAATGACCTCCCAGTTACTAGTTTAAGGTGAGTCCATAAATTCACTCACAACACTCATAGCAAATGGTGTCTAAAAGAGTTAGTGTGAGGTAATTTAAATTGTTAATGGAATACTTATTTTTGTGTTTATGAATGTCTAGACGAGTCACAGCAAGTTATTTCAATTTTCCAACCAATCTCCTAGATTATTCGGATTTCTCCAATGATTTTCCTTCATTTGCAACCCTTGTAACATTAGGATCCTCATTGATATCAATCAGCTTAAATCATGAATCCTGGAATAGTGTTTAAACATTCTTCTACATTAACAATTTTTCTACTACTTGGGCATGGGGAATATGTGTAAAAATATTTTGAGGAATTGGTTTTATGATCAATGCCCCTGAGTTTATATTCCATGATTTCTCAAATGGTGTATCTGAGGTATTTAAACCATATGAGTGAAAAAACATTACTTGACAGACTTTTGCCTGTGGGCTTCTCTTGGTCCTCAGGCCTACTTTTTAACCATTCAATTTCAACCTTGAATTCACTTATATCAGTAGGTATCTCTTCTTCTTGCTGTTAACTGCACGGGTTTTGTCGGTACGACTTCTGCGAATTGTTCTTGTATCCCCAGTCTTTGCTCAAGGTAGTGAACTTCACATGGAGTTTACATAAAGTACATCATTAATTGTCCCTATTTTCTGCTGAAGTTTCATTTTTACTCGACTTTTCCCTGTTAATGTAGTTTGGAGCCTTTAGTTACCATTGTTGAATTGTCAGTAATGCAGGATTCTACCATAATTTCCTCGTGCTTTCTTTGGCATGAACCAGGGATTTTACCTCATTCAAAGATGGTATCTCTTCTTTTCCCAGGATTTGAGTTCTTACCTGATCACATTCTTCACTAAGTCCTAACATGAACTTGATATGCTCTGTCTTTCTCTACCATCTTCTTCCGGGTAGCGGCATCTTTGCTATTTTTCATAGTGAAGCAGTGATATTGATCAAGTTTCTGCCATCAGTTTTTTAATAGGTCGGTGTACTCTTTGATCGATTTATTTCTTTTTTTGTTTACCAAGTTTTTACAGTCAGAAAATAGCTTTGAGTTGCATCTTTTACCTTGGAGTAGGCTTCTCTGATTGAATCCTGCACTTCTTTCATGACGGGTAAGAACATAACAGTATTGCCTATCTCTAGTGTCACTAAATTCCAGAGCCAAGTTATTATCATTCAATCATCTTCATCTCATGCATCAAAATTTGGGTCTCCTGTTTTCGCAGTGTGTCCAGAATGTGACTGACTTTTTTTTTTCCTTTAGAATGGTCCAAATCAGTTGAAACTAATTCAAATAGTTCTTGCCATTGAAATAGTAGGCGATCTGGATTATCTGAAGTTCTCCATTAGTTTGTACAGAATTTTTTTGTTAGAATTTTTGTCAGTAATTTGAGATGTAATCTCCAATATAGTGTAAGATTTTAGGGCAATTAAAGCCAATTTAAACTGACAAAAATAGAGATTACAGGACTGCGAAGTTCCATATGACCACTTTCCTCTAACTTTCTGGCAATATTTCCCTAGTTCTGGTAGTAAAAAGTTACAATTGAAAATGGCAGTTTCCCATCAATTGCAGGAAAAGGCCTTGTCAAAATGTCAAGGAATATAGATTTTAATTTATTCTTCATCTTCCCAACTAGCCACCAATTGCAGGGAAAGGCTTAATCAAAATGTCAAGGAATGTAGATTTTATTTTTCATGTTCCCGAACTGTCCAGTAATCTCTTATCATTGAGTAAACTTAGTAAAGATTATAGTTATTGTGTCATTTGTTTGAACTTTGTTGTCCATGTCAGAACTGGAACTCGAGGAGGATGATTGAGCATCTTAGACTAGGGCATCCTAGTCTTCATTTGAGCAACCGTTGAATTTCACTCTCAAGAGAAGAGGGTCTTCACCAAATTCCACAGCTTCCCAAAGGTTTGTTCAGCAAGGCCTTCATTCTAACAGTCAGCTGGTAGTTTTCGCCATTGAGGATAGGAGGTGAGGAAGAGCTTGAACTGCTGGAGGCTATTTTGTTCCTTTGTTGTTGGTTTTCAGTTTTTGCAGCTGGTTTCCTTCTTTCTTGGTCCCCTTTCTAAGAGCTAAAAGCTCTGAAACCATTTGTTGACATTTGACGAAGAAAAGATGAAAATCTGGAGCAGAAAAAACTGAACTGAATTTCATTAGTCTGCTACTTAAATGAAAACACAGATGAACTTCCTTCAAGCTGTCCAGGACTGTAGAAAGAGAAAGGAAAAAGAAAGATACTTTCTTACATAAGCAATCTAAAGTCGACATTAACCTTTCTTAATAAAGCTTATCCACTAATACAAGCAACATCATCTGAAAAACCATTGGAAATTAAACAACATTGGATAGGAAACATAATTCTAAACATTCGACAACAAAAATGCCAAAGACTTAACACTAGATAAGATAGTCCCACATCAATACACCGCAATTTTTTTTTTTTTTTTTTTTTGAGATAAACATCAACACACCCCTATACCAATTCAAGAAAAGCTATATAACAGAAAACCACATTCCCCTCATTAGATACAAGGAAGTACATAGGAAAATATATTCTATGCTCTTTAACATATTTGATCAAATTTTAGTTACTTGTTTCCAGTATTCGAGTTGGTTAATTGGACTAACACAATGGCCTGATTAGTTTAAATTTTTCTAAGTATTCACTGCAATTACAGGAACTGAGGCCCTTTTTGTCAACCTATCCAATATTTCAGTACCAGCCATACAAATCGCGTTCACAGCTATTGTCTTCCCCTGCCTCCTCCTTGCCTATTCTGGACAAGCTGCCTACCTTGTGCAAAACTCAAATCATGTAGATAATTCCTTTTATCATTCTATTCCAGGTTTGTTTATCAACTAGATGCATTTTCCTATTTCATTACTATAAACATTTCAACTTTGGATTATGAATTATTGATCAATTTCATTAAAGAAAAGTGTCACAAAAGTATTTATTTCTGCAGATGGGTTCTATTGGCCAATGCTGGTTGTTGCTACTACAGCTGCTGTTGCTGCAAGTCAAGCTACAATCTGTGCTACATTTTCATTGATCAAGCAGGCTCTTGCACTGGGCTATTTTCCTAGAGTTAAAGTTTTGCATACGTCAAATAAGTTCCATAACCAAATATACATTCCAGATATGAATTGGATCCTTATGATTCTTTGTGTTGGTGTAACTGCTACATTCAAAAACCAAAGCCAAATTGGTAATGCTACTGGTAAGCATATTTGAAGTTGTTAACTTCATTAACTTGTCCCATGCTTTTTTCACCCTGTTCTCCTATATCTTTTACATTTGATTCTATTTTTTTTCCTTTTTATTCTTCAAATATAGCCTGCATGACACAACGTGTGAAGTAGGTTTTACTTTAAATTATTAATGGAAAAGCTAGTTATATGTGTCTTGATCATCTTCTTTAACATCAACATAAAACTGGTTTTTCATGTATGGCAGGAACTGCAGTGGTGGCAGTGATGCTGATGACCACATTTCTTATTATTTTAATCATGCTGTTAGTCTGGCACTGGCATTGGATATTTGTTTTAATATTCACTGTGTTATCGTTAGCGGTAGAGGGTACCTATTTTTCTGCAGTGCTCTTTAAAGTTAATCAAGGTGGATGGGTACCCCTGGTGATTGCAGCAGCCTTCTTTATCGTCATGTGGATTTGGAATTATGGCGCTCAACTACGCTACGAGTCTGAAGTGCATAGTAAGATTTCAACCGCATGGATTTTAGGACTTGGCCCTAGTTTAGGACTTGCCAGGGTTCCTGGCATGGGTCTCATGTACACTGAGCTAGCCAGTGGAATACCACACATCTTTTCTCATCTTATCACTAATTTACCTGCCATCCATTCTGTTGTAATTTTTGTGTGTGTCAAATATGTTCCTGTCTACATCGTCCCAGAAGGTGAGAGATTCATAGTAACCAGAGTCGGACCCAAGGAATTCCATATGTTCCGTTGCATTGCAAGATACGGCTATAATGATCATCAGAAGAAAGATGATGAGTTTGAGACTAAGCTCCTTGACAACCTCTTCAGGTTTGTGAAGCTTGAGTCCTTAATGGATGGAGGTTCAGATTCAGATTTTGATGATTGCAGTACTACGTCCCACGATGTAGACTTACCAAGTGCTTGTAATGAATCAATTGTGCCTTCCGAATCTCTTTCTGGGCGGGCCATTCGGGAGATTGAAGAGGAGGAATTAGAGTTCTTGAAAAGGTCTAGAGATGCTGGAGTTGTCCATATACTCGGGAATACGGTAGTGAAGGCACGGAGGGATTCAAATATTTTTAAGAAGATAGCTATTGATTATATGTATGCGTTTCTCAAGAAGATGTGCAGGGAGAACAGTGCAATGTTTTATGTTCCTCATGAGAGTCTATTGAATGTTGGCCAGATCATTTATGTGTAAGCTCTTTTTTTCCTTTCTTCTTGAAAAGTTTTACAGTGTAGTATTCTGGTGTGGTGTTCAATTTAAATCCCATCACATTTTGCTTCTCCAACTCCATCTGATTCTCAGATTTTGTTTCCACATTGTCATCAAAAACTCTTCTGTAATTATTTCACTAGTAATTATACAGACAGAGAGAGGCCCTGTATCCCAAAAGCTCTCCCTAACACAGTTTAGAGACAGGAGATTTCACTACTCAGCAAGAATCATGGAATGTAACAGAAGATAAAGAGTGCTTGAAATAAATGAAGCTAATTCAGAACCTGCATGATAGTAAAATTTATTTCATATCCATTGCAATTACATGACCATACATGTCATGTAAACCTCCAGTTCAATTCACAAACAGATCCACACAACGTTCAAATCCCCAATTGGCCCTCTTTACCTATTATTGAATTCTGCAAACAGGCTAGTACTGCATCACTGGATGCTGCCACAAGGTAATTACTCTGAATTTGCAGCCTTTAGATTAATACAAAACAATCTTAGCTATCAAAGATTAAAAAGACAATGTAGCTACGGTAACATTTCCTTGCATTCAGTACTCCTAAGAGTCAAAAGGCCACAAAGTCCCCACGGAGATACCCCCTTCATAGATGCTTGAGACAACCACCAAAATGAGGAGTTTATAATAGCTCCTGAATATTACTCTTCATCGAAAGACTCGAAGTGAGTGATTTGAGCATGTAAAGCCACCATCAACCATGAGATTAGCTCCACTTACATACCTAGCTTCATCAGTTGCCAGGAAAAGAACAGAATTAGCCACATCTGTAGATGTCAATTCCACGCCCTGCAAGTTAGCGTTCTTTCCAGTAAATGCACGGAAACCTGCCAATGCATCATCAGTTCTTTGATCCTCTGGCAAGTGAGCCAAAGCCAATCCTGTTGCAACTCCATAAGGTGAAACACAATTCACGCGTATACCATATTTTCCCAGCTCAGCTGCAACGTTCTTGCAGAGCCCCAAAACAGCATGCTTAGACCCTACGTATGCATGTGGGCCTATGCCGCCTATAACACTAGCAACACTACAAAGAGAAATGATTGTACCTTTCTTTAGTGGAATCATAATCCGAGCTGCATGTTTCATTCCATGGAAAACACCCTTTACATTTACATCGAAAACCCTCTCAAACTCTGATAAATCATAATTCCGAATATCAGAGCATGGATTGCCTGATATACCAGCATTGTTCACCATAATATCCAGTGTACCAAACTTGTTAACCACAAAGTCAACTGCACGGCAAACATCATCCTCTACTGCGACGTCGCAATGAAAAAAGCATACATCCGGGTTACTACCAAGAGATTTGCAGACATTTTGACCAAGGTCGTCTTGCGCATCAACTATGCAAACCTTTGCACCATGCTTGTAGAATAATCGCACAATGCTCTCTCCAATGCCAGAGGCTCCACCAGTTACCAGTGCCACCTTCCCTAATAACCTTGAGAGAGACAGGGAAGCGAGAGAAAGAAAAGTGACAAAGAAATAAGTGACTAGACTAACCAAATTCAATATACAGAAGCTAAGAGCAATTGAATTGTTCAGTGATTAGTTAACAGCTATACAAGCTATAGTGTCTAATTGTTCGTCATCCAAGATAAATTAATGATATTTAAAATTCATTTTCTTTTCAATATTTCTCCAGATTCTCCATTCTGTAAATTCCTTTCTCTTCCTTTGTTTCCTTCCCAAGTCAAGATTAGGTTCTGACAGGTGCCTTTGGTTTTACAGCTTCTCAATAGTAGACGATGATGACTAACAGTGAATTAAATCCAAAACAAACTTTAAGCACAATTTAACACCTTGAGCACTAAAGTGGAAACGCCAGGAAATACAATAAATGATCTTGTGAAGAACTTTAAAAAATGTTTACAGGATAAGCTGGCCAAGTTGCTGAAAATTTCCAAATTTCACAAGTCACTAAATTTCTTTTTTTTTTTTTTTTGTTTTTTTGGAAATAACAAGTCACTATATTTCATAATCTTATCACCAAGGTGAAGGATGAAGGACTGGAGGACCAGGAAGAAGAATCACGCAGTAGCTCATCAAAGCAAAGATATTAAGTGCTCAAGATCATTCACCTAAAGAGACTTCTATATATATTCCACCAACAGGAAGCTAAGGCAACACTTAGTTCTACAGAGATTAAGCTAAAGGATGGTGAAACACTGATTTCCCTAATTGTTGATTTCAACCTACCAAAAAGGTTTCACACTTGTTGTTTCTATTTTTCTCGCTTTAATCAAGAATGATCAAGGGCAGAGTTTTTTAATTTTTTTATTGGGAAGCTTAAAACTCTGTCTTACCTCTTCTGTAAGAATTCCTCTCCAATCACAAGAAAATGATGTAACATAGTCTTGACTTAGAATCTGTAAATGGATTAGCAAAAAGTTTCCAAAATAATCTACAAGTTATTATAATATGAATAATATTAGTCTTAAGTAGTATTAGGATTTAATTTATAGCTTAAGTTCTTTTTATTAACTTCACCACTAGCACGACTTAATTACACATATTACGAACTCTGTAATCTCAGTTTTGACATCAATCATGACTAAATAAATTATCATGCGAATTTTCTCAATAGCTTGTTCATGTACTGCAATTAAATCCGTAAGATTTATGAAGTCGTTTGTTAGGTTGTGATGCCAAAGAAAGAAATAATCCAGGTTTATCCCAAATTCAAGAGTAGCAAATTTCCCATAGAAAGTTACAAAATTGGAGTCAACATCACTAAAAATTAAAGAAATTCACTGAAATTATTGCTCTTAACTTTCCAGAACATAGCAAATTCCCGCCGCCGATTAGAAATTTTGCAGCAGAATATTATACATATGGAAGCTTTCCTTCCTTCATTTTTCATATCCAAACGACTTTTCCATTTATATTTTACCAAAAGAAGCACAAAATTAGCACTAACAAGTGCTAAAGGAAAACATTAGATCTAAATTTTTTTTTAATATGAATTACACAGAGCGACTAAATCTTTGATCTCGAACTTGATTAACATCAACAGGAAGACCTATGCTTACAGAGTCTAAACAGTAAAAAACAAAAAAAAACAAAAAAGAAAAGCGTATATACTCAGCTAAGAGGCTTTACCTTTGAATTGGAAGCGACGAATCAGTTGAGCTTGTAGACATGACTGGAATTTTTTACTCCTTTTTTCTCTCTCTATATCTATCTCCGGGTTGATCAGAAATGAAGATCGTCCATGGCGATAACCTCTCAAGTCTTTCCACTGACACAAGCCAACATTTGCCGAGAATCTCAACTTTCCTTTCCATGTGCGCGAATATTTATGATATCTTCATCGTTTTCGCATTCATTGTTATCCATTTGTAGTCTATTTTGGTCCAGTCGTGTGTATATATATATATATATATATATATTATATTGGAATTATATTTTTTGAAATTTTAAATTTAAATTAAAGCAAATATATTTATTTAAATTAATTTCGATAATTTTAGTCAAATAATTATGAAATATTTTATATTTATTTATTCAAAAATTCTATGTTCTTAATATTCTATTTTCACATCCATTTTTGTAATATAATTCTACAAATTTATTTGTAATTTATAAATTTTGATTTTAAAATTTCATACTATGCACATATATATATATATTTCATTTTCATAATTATTTTCCTTAAATTTCTTTCAATAATTATTTTGGCCCATATTTCATTCTCTAGAATTTCTATATATATATATATATGTATATATATATAGGTAATAGATCAACATCCTACAATTTCAAACACATACATGAACTCAAGCACAATCAAATTATAAACATTAACATGTAAATAATATTAAATTGCTTATATATATAATTCTACAAAAGTGTATATAATTTATATTTGTATTTACATATACATTTACATTTACATTTATATTTACATTATCAAAAAGAGACTTTAAATTGTAGAAAGAGATTAAAAAAAACCCTAATATGTAGATCTTATCATCCAACCAAACAAATTCAAGGTTACATTATTTCGAAATTATACTACCCTTTGGTTGAAGAGTTAATACTTTCAATATTCTTTTCAAAAATATAAGCTCGAATCTTGAATCGTAAATCCTCTATTATAAAACAACCGATTCAGAAAAGAAGTTCGAGATTGTACCAGCTCTAATAATCTGTTCACAAACAAAGTCGATGTTGTGTTATTCAACCGAACAAATTCAAGGTTGCATTATTCCGAAATTGCATTACCTTTTTGTTGGATAGTTAGTACTTTCAATATTCTTTTCAAAGAATATGAGCTCGAATCTTGAACGGTACATCCTCTGTCATAAAGCAACCGATCCAAAAAAGAAATTCGAGATTGCACCAGCTCTAATTGAAATCACAAACGCAGCTCTTTTAGGATCATATACGTACCAAGATTTTGCTGGGGAAAAAGAAACCGACGTTTTGGAGATGTCGCAAAATTC